ATCATTCAGTTTATCTATGTAACGTCTGGCAAACAAACTTCCACACATTCCCATCCCACCCCCTTTTCTATCTGGTCATAATATTATTTTTTGCACTTCTGCTACTTGCGCTCCACCATCCATTGACGGAATGTATCTGGGCCGGCTTCTTCTTCTTAGTTGCCCCTCCTCCACTATCATTTTCTATTCTGGGCATGTGTGCAAATGTTTCTATACCTTTGTGTGTGTGCCATCTTTTCAAAAAGAAAAGCGCACAAGAAACAATCCCAACATATTTGGCCCATTGCCATATTCCGCAATGGACAAAACGAAGGAGGCAATATTTCATCTCCATTTGACTTTTTTAAAAAATTGTTTTCAGAACATAAGAAGAGCCTTCTGGATCTAGTTCAGCATCCTGTTCTCACCCTGGCCAACCAGATACCTATGGGAAGCCTATAAGCAGGACCTGAGCTCAACAGTATGTTGGGAAACTGTGTATGTGCAACTACTCACACAGAGTCAATTAAGGTTTGGCATACAGCCAGAAGGCAATCTGAAGGAGTAAGTCTGCCTGGTGATAACAGAGACAAGGAGACAGCTCCCTGATTGGTCAAGCTCTCTCAGTGTAGGAGTTGTGAGTCGTGTCAGGGTTAGCATTAAAATGCTGCTAAATTTCCACACACACAAAATTGCAAACTGATGTGGAAAATGAGAAACAGAACTGACACATTTGCCCATCTCTAGCATTCTCTGCCAGCCCTGCGTGGCCCTATCCATCCACACATAAGTCAGGAAGCATCTAGAGCAGTAGCCACCTGTGCAGCAGCCTGGTAAAACACCATTTCTCTCCAGGCTAGGCTGCCCAGCACAGTGCTTTGCTGGCACTTATCAAAGAGAGAGGTGGGAGATGCAGGGAGCCCAGGCACCTAATGTAAGGAGCATCAGGTTGACTGTGCTATGCCATGCCACTCTGTGGTGTCCCACCTATGCCACTCTGCATGGCTTAGAACCCTATAGCAAGCAGGATTCCAAAACATTCTGGGTGTCTATGCATGCAGAGTTGGCTCTTTGCTTCAGACCATCTCCTCAGTTTCATGGATGGCCATTGAGCAGGACAATAGGGGCGGGACAAAAAGGGCAGGGCCAGTGAGTACAACTGTGTTCCCCCACTTGCAGGATGGTAATTGTGTGGGCTACTAATGCCCAAAAAGAGGCATTATAAGTTAGCAAATTGTTACACTGATTTGGTTCGTTTGTGCATGGTTATTATACCAAAAGCTAACTGTGGCATTTATCACTCAGTAGCTACAACCTTGCGGGAACAAGTGATAATTCATTAATTAAGGTAGAATTGGGAAGAATAAACCAAGGAAGCACACCTGTTAGGATGAAGTTGAAACAACAACAAAAATGCAGCTACCTTAAGGTAGAACTCAGTGGTAATGGGAAATAGCAGCACTAAATGTCTGGCTAAGTGCCAACATTTTGCCTGGGTTATATCAGTGCAAACCCCTCTTTTAAAAAAAAATAATTTTTTTTTAATCCATGCACATTTTATGTGAATAAAAGTGCTCCCATGAAAAAGGCCTCTGGTGTTGTGTGTCTATTTCCCAGAGCTCAGATGCCTCCTTTTGCATCCACCATCAGCAATGCAATCATTCAAATAAGGTGAAATCAATCATATAATGAGTCCCACCATATGATACTCATCTTTGAGGAGAATGAATAAATCATTGTGCTCCTGACAGGGTATTTATGCCACAAATTGACCTCGGAAGTGGCTTGGCAACACTTTGATAGTTATGGCTGTGATAGTGGCAATATGGGAATGAATACATCTTTGTACTTGGACCAGTTCGAATCTTGGAACCTGTTGAAACTAAGACTGTGCAGAGAGAGAAATAATGTTGCTGTTGCAAAGAAGCAGGAAACAAAACCTAGAGTTGTCAGAGGAGAATTCATTTGATGAACACTCTTCCCTCACTCCCCCTTACAATTCCCATAGAGACATTTACTGGGGAGAAACAGGAAACTGATAAGCTCTTTTCTCTTTGGTGAGAGAGCAAAACTTCCAAGTTTCAACCAAGAGCAATCATTTTCATTCATCTGTCACCACTGGGGCCTTGGGTTTGTTGTGTGAGTAGTTCTCTCTGATGTACCAACATTATTATAATCATAACACCTAAAACATACTGGGCACTTTACAAATTGATAAAATAAACCAATCTGTGCCCAAAGTGGCTTATACTCTAAGGCTGGGCCAGCTCAAGACATTTCAGCACCTGAGGCAGGTCTCAAAATGGCGTTCCCTTCCCTGTCAGGGAAGAAGGAGTGAGGGAAGATCTACATCAGGAAAAAGGGAGAAGAAATATCAGACCTTGAATTTTATAGCGATATAACTACAATGTTCCGAAGTAACTTTTTAAACTTAAGAACTCGATTGAAATAAGGGGGAAAGGTATGGGACAGGAAAACAGGCAATAAAAAGTACTGAGATGTCTCTTTCTTGGTAAACCATGATAACTTTTGCAATAATACATCTGCCAGCCTTTAAAGTGCTGCTGGACTGTTGTTTTGCTTCTGTTGTGGCAGGAGGGTGCCAGGGAGTTTAAATAAGGTTCCCTCACCGCACCCCACCTTCTCCCATTACACTGATTAGCATCACATCAAGGAGAGAGAGGTGACAGGTGGGGAGAACACCCTATTTGAATTTCCCATACACTCCATTTCTCTACTTGGAAGTTAAATGAAGGGAAGGGAGGTGTTTGGGGTGGACTTTCAGGGGGCAGCTGAGACTGAGTGGAGCAGAGCCAGGAAATTGAATTCTCCTCTGGCTGAAACTGTATCCAACCTAGAGAGAAGAGTTTTTGGAAGCTTGGTAGGTTCTTGTCTCCTGGGAAGCAAACATGAGGCAGCCCCCAAATTCCATTTCCAAGACCTGACTTGGGGAAGTCTGCCAGCACCTGTAGTTCCCACTCAGGACTCTGACATAACCATCAATTAATGTACCGGTAGTTCCATATCGCAGAGAGAAGGAACTTAAAGCAAACTATGACTGATAGTCCTGATATGTGCTACTCTGCAGTGCTATCGTCACTAAATTGCAGCCACACTATCCAAGCTCATCTGCCCACCCATAGAACAACACAAGGTCCCTGCAGAAAGCAGAGGAGAGGATTTCTCTTTATGAAGGTCTAGCTATCATGTTGGGGGGGAACTAGCATGGACATCTGTTCCCCTACCTTTAAGAGCTGTGTGACTAGGAAGCGTTTGGCAGGTGACTCTCCTGCCTGTTCAGGGCTGTCCATGAGATGGTGAAACTGTTTCTCAGCCTCAAATGTGAACAGAACAAGGAAAATAAAAGGACCTGCTCAAAATTTTTGGTACTGTAATCCAAAACAGCATCATAATAACATCATTTCAAGTTGTAAATATGTCATTACCGATTTTAATTATCTGATTACATTCATTTACAGTGGTGCCCCGCAAGACGAATGCCTCGCAAGACGGAAAACCCGCTAGACGAAAGGGTTTTCCGTTTTTGAGTTGCTTCGCAGGACGAATTTCCCTATGGGCTTGCTTCGCAAGACGAAAATGTCTTGCGAGTCTTGAGATTTTTTTTTCACTTTCCCCCCCCTTTATCTAATCCGCTAAGCCTTTAATAGCCTTTAATAGCCTTTTAGCAGCTAATCCCCTAAGCCTTTAAGCCTTTAATAGCCGCTAAACCGCTAATAGCGCTAATCCGTTAAGCCGCTAATAGGATTGCTTCGCAAGACGAAAAAACCGCTAGACGAAGACTCTCGCGGAACGGATTAATTTCGTCTTGCGAGGCACCACTGTACACCAACTTTGTAATTAGATGTAATTTCATACTTATCAAGGTTTTTTTAAATATATATATATATATATATAGATGTGTACACACACACACAGTAATCCTCTGATCTGTTCAGTGGAGAACTTTGGGCTATTAAAAGCCTGCAAGAGTCAAATTAATTGTTGACTGAACATTTTCAGTCTGATCCACTGTGAGAAATTGGCTTTTCCCTCCCTTTGTCTGCTTCTTTGAATGAATCTGATTTACTAGAGTTGAAAAAGTGTTTCCCTTATGATCTCACATTGTAAGAATATCCCTTGAGGAATGAGAAGGTTGTAGAATATTAGGTGGCATACTCCTGTCCTATTGATATAAATGAGATTGACACAACCAGATATTAACCTCACATCCATACCATACCGTTAAATCACATTTAAATCACCAGCCAGGATGGGCAGGGGTCAAGAGCGCAAGAAGTTGGGTCCTCTCCATATCAGGCTGAATTAAATGAAATTGATCCCATTAAAGGTAGGAAGACACACCATTGGACATGTTCTGAGATTGGGGGTGGGGCAGACCCGCCATAATTTATACAGTCAATAAAAGAACTGAAATTTGAGCAAACTCATAAATTCATGAAGCAAGCAAAGTTGGTTAATTAAAACTAAGCCAAGCACTGTTGAATTCAGTATCGGATTGCAAGCCCACACAGCTTCACGTAGCTTGCTGGGGATAAGCTAACCGTTAGCATGACAAAAGGTATTGAAAGGCCATCTAAGAGAAATCCCTAAGCCTGGGCAGAACGAGGTTGTCAAGGTGATGGGGTGTCCAGACAGGTGAGGTGACTGGAAAAGAGTGCCTTTAGCAAGGTGTGCTGGGGAGAAGGAGGGGCGGACAAATTATTAAAGCTACGACAGTCTCCGCCTCATCTTGCTTCTCAAAGGAACACGGACCCTGGGTGAGCACCTGAAACCCCCTAGAATCTTGCTACCGCTCAGCAGAAAGTGGGGACTTGGTGCCCAACTTTTGTAACAGACATCTCAGCTTGGGCTGCAGCAGCTGTGACAACTCAAGCACTATGCATCTGCATGACTTTATTCTCAAAGTGCCATACAAATGGCTCATAACGTGCTGCTGAGTGCTCCAGAGAGAGACCCATTCGCCAGTCAAGTTCCCTCCTTGTCTGATTCATTGAAGAATCGGGTAGCTCAGTTAGTAGAGCATGAGACTCTTAATTTCAGGGTTGTGGATTTGAGCCCCACGTTGGGCAAAAGATTCCTGCATTGCAGGGGGCTGGACTTGATTATCCCCATGGTCCCTTCCACCTCTTCAATACTATGACTTTATTATTACCCACAACTTCTCAGTAAACCAAGGAGTAGCCAAGACTTTGCAGACCCTGAGGAGAAGCAATTGGGTTGATAGCTCTACTCATCTTGCCACCCAACAGCAAACTTTGATTGGATCACCAGCTCTATCCACCAGAAAAACCCTCAATATATTCAGGAATCTGCTAGATTCCATTATTCTCCATTATTCCTTCCTTAAGGTAGGATCCCCTCCACCATATGCCTGAATTCTACCTCTTGATCATGGTCTTTCCTAGGTCTTCACAGCCATTGTTTCCCCTCTCTACTGCTGTTTCACCATAACTTTCTCCCAATTTCTCCTCCCTCAAGTAATCCAAGCCAGTTAGAGATTGCATTATGAACATGACAGTGTCATGAGACTAGGTAAAACATTTCAATCTCTACCCTGCATAGTCGAAGTAGCTTGTCACTTAAAAGAATGGAAGATAATAATAATTAAGGTAAAAGTAAAGGGACCCCTGACCATTAGGTCCAGTCGCGGACGACTCTGGGGTTGCAGTGCTCATCTCACTTTATTGGCCGAGGGAGCTGGTGTACAGCTTCCAGGTCATGTGGCCAGCATGACTAAGCCGCTTCTGGCGAACCAGAGCAGTGCATGGAAGCACCATTTACCTTCCCGCTGGAGCGGTACCTATTTATCTACTTGCACTTTGTGCTTTCCAACTGCTAGGTTGGCAGGAGCAGGGACCGAGCAGTGGGAGCTCACCCCATTGCGGAGATTCAAACTGCTGACCTTCTGATCGACAAGCCCTAGGCTCTGTGGTTTAACACACAGCGCCACCCGCATCATGAGACTACAGATCCATAAATGATATCACCACGCAATGCAGTCACGGGGGGGGGGGGAGGAAGTCAATTAAGACTGAAAGCAATGCTGCCTGCAATGCAAAATTTTCACACTTTTGATTCCTTTTTGGCATGCCCCCCCTCACCAAAAGAAAGAACTGACTATGTGGGAGCATGCTTTTTGCTACCACCTAAAAATGTTGCAAAACGTTGTGCTCACTCCTAATTATTTAAAGTAGTGGGGGGGGTACTGCATTCATGTTTTCCTCTGATGTTAAAATATATATTTTAATGAGCTTTTGAATGCACCTTTTCTTTCTTTTGATGAAGCATTACACTTTGCTTTCTTTGCTCTTCTCAGCCAATGGCAGCATTAACATCAGAGTAGACAGAACAAGTCCAAGATTTACACTCAGTGATATTTCTGAAGCGGAGCAGGTGCAGCTGTTGGGGAAAGTGGGGGGGAGGAACACCATTTTTTTTTAAAGGAGTCAGATGGCATTGTGTAGCAAACAGAAGGCAAAGGACTGGATTCAAAGCACAAAATCAGGTTCTTTTATTGACGCAGAATACATTAATTTGTGATGCAAGGTTTGAAATGACTGGTTATAGAAATGTATCCATCTGATTGTGGTTTAATTTTCTGTGGGCTGCGGTATCTATAGCAGGCAAACCATAAGAGCATCATGTGCAGGTTTCGTCCTTTTGGAATCATCACCTGCACAGTTTCACACGTGCAAGAGACAGAGAAAGGACAGCCGTCGCACAGCCGTACAATGGCCTCTCTAGCTCCGTATCCTATTACCAACACAGACCAGATATGCAAGCTTCTGGGAGATTTTACAGCAGCCATACTAATATACTTTGCCATTTCACCTAATCATTTGCTTCTGAGTAGCATTAAGAGCTCCTAGAAAACTGGGTAGAATGCCTTGCACCTAAAAGCATTTGACACCATTTAAATTATTGAAATGAACTAAATAAACATTCTAAGCTACCTCGAATACCACAAGGGCCTCTTACCTTTCCATTGAGATCAACCCCATGGAAATGCCGGGGTTAAATGGGGGGGGGAGTACAGTAAAAGTTCTGATAATTCATTTCTAAAAAATCAAAGTATTGCTAGAATGGTGATATCACAAGAATGCTGGGTGTTAGTTCATTTAAGTGCAGTTCTTTTGCATTTCATCAAAAGTGTAGCAGATTTTAGAATGGCTACCAGAATTTTAGATTCAGAACCATTTGCTTCAGGTTCTGCTTTTTAACAAACTGCTGGTGGTATCTTGAGTACCTGCATGAACCTGCTTGAGTTCAGTTTCATGGGCCCTACTTGCTGATCATAAGCTCCATGAGATTGGTGAGCAGCAGGGACAGGGTCTTCTCTGTGGTGTCCCCAAATCTGTAGAACTCCCTTCCAAGGGATGTATGGTTGTCCTCATCAGTTTGGGTCTTCAAAAATGCTCTGAAGATATATCAGTTTCAAATGGCTTTTAACTGAGATTATCTTATTGAGTATGCTGCTGTCTTACTGGCCTTTAGATTCCCAATATGCTGGTTTGAAGTGTGTTTTTAAATGCTTTATGTACTGTGGGAGTGGGGAGGATGATATTTCTAATTTGTGGTTTTAAATTGTATTTTATTGTTGACATTACAATTTCTTTGGTTTGTATTTATTGCAGGCAGGGGCGTAGCGTGGGTTGTCAGCACCCGGGGCAAGACAAGTAATTTGCGCCCCCTAACCTGTGGATTTTAGCACTCGAGTGCGAGCGCCCCCCCCCCGATGTTGCGCCCGGTGCGGCCGGCCCCCCCTGCACCCCCCATGCTACGCCACTGATTGCAGGCAAAACAAAAAAGAGAGGAAAAAGACTTCCAGGTGTTAGAAATATACTTTTCCCGTACATATAGGTTCCTCCCTCTTTCTGTCTCCTGGCCCTCTCAGTGGTGCTATCCCAGTTCGGTGGCTGTTGTTTTTCCTCACATTTGTTGTCGGCCAGCTTGGGAGGATTCTGGGTTGTATTCCACTAACTTTTACTGAGAGCAGAGCCATTGAAATTAATGACCATGACTAACTTAGGTCCCTCAATTTCAATGGAACTACTCTGAGTAAATGGTAGTGGCCTACAACCCAGAGTCCTGAAATGCAACTTTATTTAAAACAAGACAAATGGAGTCGAGCCTGAGATTTAAGCTCCGAACGGACCTATGTAGTTCATTTCACCTAATCGCAGTTTTCATGTACTATGAAAGTTGAAGGTGGGGGGAACTGCAAATATTTCATGCTGTGAGAAGCTGAGAGAAGTTGCCAATTGTAGGAAATCTTCTTTGCATTGCTTTTAGCTTCCTGCTAGCTGCTAAACCCTATAAACCTTGGCAGGTGCAACCATTTTCCTGCCAGCTTTCCCTCTTCTGAATTAAGGAGAAGTACCTCATAGCAGTCAGTGTTCCAGCCTCGGAACAAATTGCTATAGGTTCGGCAAGGTGGCATGTAGGTACAATTCTACCTGTCAATCCCATGAGCCAGTTGGCAGCCACTGTCTGTTGGGAAAAGAGATTATTGCCTCCATAGGGAAGGCCTCCAAGCCTAACATTCAATGAGAGGGTTCTCATTGCTAACTAAAATTGATAAACTGGCAGAGAGCCTTCTAATTCTATAAGTCATTCCAGAAATGTTCGAAGATTTAAATATTGGCAGGCTTGAAAAGATGAAAAATGGTGGGCTCATTCAGCATGCATTACTGTTGCACGGTACTTTTTTTTTTAAAAAAAAAACCCTTCTTTAAAAACACTTGCTCTACTTTTAGAAAGCTATGCAATGTTTTAATATACCTTCAAATATATTTCAGGAAAAGGTTAAAATAGAAATATATAGAGAGGGCTTTTACCAAGCAGAGTACATGAAGAACAGGGCACAACTGTAGGTCACATTTAATGGGTGACAGTGGAAATGAATGTTTGGAAATATCTCAGATTCCTTCAGATTCCCAACTACACCATTCATGGTTTGAATGAAAAACTTGAAATTAAAATTTGGAATGTGAACTTTTAAAATTAGTGTGCTTGAGTTTTATGGGCTTTTCTTCCTTGTGTTGTCTTTGGCTGGTATAAAAATGAAATCTCAAACGTTCAGCTGTAAAATACTACATACGATTGCATGTGAGCCATCAATCAGCACTAATTACTAATCCTCATAGAATGCCAATTATCATTCATTTCAGCCCAATGCCCCTTGTAGCCATTCTAGTCATGTACAGCTCCCTTGCCCTATGTTCACTGGACATAGTATGCTGCTTTAGCTGTGCCACAGAAAGAAGTCATAGATAGCTCAGTTGGTACAGCATGAGACTGTTAATCTCAGGGTCAGGGGTTCAAGCCCATGATGGACAAAAGATTCCTGAATTGCAGGGGCTTCGACTAGTTGATCCTCATGGTCCTTACCAACTCTATTATTCTATTATTCTACACGTGTGCCTCCTAAAGAGATCATCATCAATGTTGGGTTTTAGCAGTGTTGATCACCAGTTCAGAAGAGAGGCAGAAGGAAAGGAACTGATTGTCAGAAACTGCAAAGGCTAGAAATAGAAACCTTCAGACTGGGCCCAATACATTTTTTTAAAACAAATTTTATATGATGCCTGATTGTCAAAACAAAACAAAACAAAAACATATCTAAGCAGAATTGCTGCCTGAGGCAAATAACAAAATGGTGCCTGCTCCCATTCCAGGTACAAAACCCAACCAGGTGGGCAGTTGAATATTTGACACTGACAACAGGGCTGAGGACTCCACTCCAACTGGGGTCAGCAGTCTAGCTTGGGGGGGGGGCTTAAAAGAGGTCACATGACACACAAAGCTCCGTCCCCTCCCCACCCCTCAGCGACTGCCTTCCTGCCACACATCATGAGCTATGATTGTCAGAACTGCAACTAGGAACGTCATCTGCCAGTGATATGGTTCCTAGTTTTTTATTGTGACCTACACACACACACACAGAGAGAGAGAGAGAGAGAGAGAGAGAGGGAGAGAGAGAGAGATTGGGACCTCCTGGACAGGAGTGCTATAAAAGGCATCCTGACTGGACTAGGACCTTCGTCAATGTCTTCTTGGCTCTGGCCTGTTCCTTGGCTCTCACCCCTGGCTTTGACTCATGGGCTGGATTCCTAGTTTCCAGCTCCTGACTCAAATCAGACAGCAGCCTACATTTCAGCCTTGACAGAGGCTTTTGTTATGGGGAACATGCACAATCAAAACCATCATGGATTACTGCACACCCTGGGTGAAGGATGCAGAGGCTTTTGTAAGCCAGAACAGCAAGATGTTCTGTGGAAGAAAACCAGCTTCCATGAGTCAGTATTTATGGTAATGCTGGGCCAAAGTAAACAGCCCAGCTATTTTGGTGAGTTTGAGAGGGAGAAGGTGTTTTTTTTAAAAAATGCTCCCTTCCCATCAAAGACTGACTTTAATCTTTTGGGGTGGGTGAATTCTAAGATTTTTTGTGGTGGAAACATGTTTGTCTCCAGCTCCACCCACCACCAGCATGCAGGCCCCAACTATTAGCCTCAAAGCAATGCAGAGGGACGCGGGTGGCGCTGTGGTGTGGGCTTGCCAATCAGAAGGTTGGCGGTTCGAATCTTCGCAATGGGGTGAGCTCCCGTTTCTCAGTCCCAGCTCCTGCCAACCTAGCAATTTGAAAGCACGCCAAAAAGTGCAAGTAGATAAATAGGTACCGCTCTGGCAGGAAGGTAAATGGTGTTTCCTTGCAGTGCTCTGGTTTCGCCAAAAGCGGCTTAGTCATGCTGACCACATGACCCGGAAAAACTGTCTGCGGACAAATGTCAGCTCCCTCGGTCAGTAAAGCAAGATGAGCGCCGCAACCCCAGAGTTGTTCGCAACTAGACTTAACTGTCAGGGGTCCTTTACCTTTACCTTTTTAATACTGTCCTTTGGCAGGTGGGAAGACCACCCCCGGTCTGTTAGCTTTGTCTGTTGTTTTGTCCGACTTGGCATTTTAGGGTGCAGTTGCACCTTGTAAGGTATTCATGGTTTGTTTTATACTGCCCACTGCTTTTATGAGGGATTTGTGGTTTGTGCACTGCTGTGGAAAAAACCATCTATGTGATTTTTATTTATTTATTTCTGTAAGGAAAAAAGGCCCACATAAACAGGCTATCAAGACACCAGGGGTCTCCAATACTCTCTTCTCCAAAGGAAACTGACATTACGATTACTGTGCTGAATTTCCCAGCACAGGGGAAAGGAAGACCATTAAAACAGTGATTGCAGTATGTCTACTGATACGTTAGAGCAACACACACCCACACACCCAAAAAAACCCAGTTTGCCCCCAGGGCGTAAGCCTGGGCAGTGTGTATGGAGGTCCTGGGCTGCCCAGATGATAGGATCACCCTCTCAGCCTCACTGAAGTAGTCCAGAGGAAAGCAGAGCAATACGTTTGGCACCCGCTTGGCTGCAGGAGTTGTCAGGAGACGTACAAGGCGCCATCCAACCATCTTAGGGACTTCACTCTGGATTTGTATAGGATTTACTCCTTAGCCTTTTCTTCCCCATAAGCTATCCCACAAGGAAAGTAGAGGTTAATGATTAGAGTTTTCCTCCCCCTAGATGGGCTACCTTCCAGTTTGACAAGCCCCATTTGCCCCTCACTTCCCTCTACAACACATGCAGAAACCGACTTCTTACCTTAACTATTGGCCCTTGTCTGCTCAATCTGCCAGAGCCTGTCTTCACATGCAGGGGAAGTCCCTAATTCACCAAAGGTTTGAGAGCCATTGGCTACCCTTCACCTGGTTTAGCTGGCCAGTCGAAGCAATTCCTGGGGTGTGGCCACTGTCACATGCTGACAGCTTCTAGGAGCCACAGGTGAGAGCTGAGTGCAGGGTGTGTGGACAAACAACCCCAGAAGCATCACAATGTGTCCCCCACAGAGGTATTACCCCTCCCCTAACACCCCATACACAGGGACGCGGGTGGCGCTGTGGGTTAAACCACAGAGCCTAGGGCTTGCCGATCAGAAGGTCGGCGGTTCGAATCCCTCGCGACGGGGTGAGCTCCCGTTGCTCGGTCCCTGCTCCTGCCAACCTAGCAGTTCAAAAGCATGTCAAAGTGCAAGTAGATAAATAGGTACCACTTTGGCGGGAAGGAAAACAGCATTTCTATGCACTGCTCTGGTTCTCCAGAAGCGGCTTAGTCATGCTGGCCACATGACCCGGAAGCTCCCTTGGCCAGTAAAGTGAGATGAGCGCCGCAACCCCAGAGTCGGCCACGACTGGACTTAATGGTCAGGGGTCCCTTTACCTTTACCTTAACACCCCATATACTTTATATCCTGAAGACACCACAGTCTCCGCTGTCCCTCATTCCAAACAAAACACAAACCCTGGGTAAGCACTTGGAACACCTAGAATGTTGCAACGCTCAGAGAGAGGGGTGGTATACAACACTACATTTCATAATGTCAGGGGCTTTTTTTATTTAAAAACATCCCTGTACTGAGACTTCAGAATCAGAATTTCTCCTTCATGTGCTCTGATCAAGTGTGTGTGTGTGTGTGTGTGTGTGTGTGTGTGTGTGTGTTTATAATAAACCCAAACTCAGTGGTAATACTTTTGTCAACTGTTAATGTTTTGGAGCAATGCTGTTGAAATTCTGTTACTAAAGCAGGCATGGAGTACCAACACTTAGATACCTGGGGCACTCTGCAAAAATTAAGACTTAAAAAAAAAATCCTGCTTTTCAAAATGAAAGAAAATTACAAGCCTTTTGTCCTAATGACAGGGGAAGGGTTTTGCAAGCTCCTCAGTGTTCCCACCCCCCCTAGTCCCAAATTTTTGCATAGCTGTGTTCCTGAATGCAGCGCCATTATTTTTAATGATATGTCAGGAATGGCTAAAAGAATTCTACGGAGCAGATCAAAAGACACAGTCTCTGAATTCCACTACATTTTCAGGTGGGGTTTAAGGGGTTAAACAGCAATCCGTTTCGATAAGGCTCATTTGTACAGTCTGCTAATTTTGTTTAATGTTCACTTTCTTCCAGCATTTTTATTTCGATGAAAGATAGAAATAAATTTGCATCTTACAATAAAGGTTCAAACCACTCCCTTTTATTTGCCTTATAAATATATAGGGTGAAAACTCTAGTACAATATATATATTTTTTCAAATGCCACTAACTACAGATTCTTAATAGCTACATTCAGTATATTCAAAATACTTTACACTTTTTTCCTGTTTCCTCCCACCCTCCTCTCTCTCTCTCTCTCTCTCACACACACACACACACACACAAATCTTGTCCAATTATTTCTATTTTCCTGAAGTACGTAAGGTCAAATTGTTCTTTTCCTCCTTCCTTTTAGCGGGCTTTTGTGTCTGCCTGTCTGATCTGTGGCCTTTTGTAGCACTCTCGGACCATGACCCTGACAGTCATTATTTTGTCTTTTATCTTCATCTTCTTCTTTTTTTATTAGACTAGTCAGGCTTGATATTAGGCTTCCCAAAGATACTATCCATTACACTGTCAGCAAAGCAGGCTGCCTTAGTGGAGGCCAAGTGTCAACAGAAGGTGAGACAGAAAATCAGCCACAATCTAAAAGCTAATTACCCTGCCTAGAAGTTAATTAAATACTTGTTAGGAGCAGCAGGGTAGATCCTAATTAAACTTGTCTAATAACAGTACGCTGACATACCCTGACACTGGGAATTCCTACAGGGTTTAAATAATTGTACAAAGGGCAATAATACCTGTCACATCATGGTGTGCAGGCAAACCCTGAAGATGCACATTTTTTGCAGTATTTTCTGTACTAATTTGCCACATATTGTGCACTTCACATGTGTTTAATTTACACACATTTCAATTTCGATACCCTGGATTCCTCCCCCCTCGCCCAGATTACTTTGGCTTCCCCCTTTTCCCCATCTTGCCTGAAGAGAACACAGAAAGGAACAAATTCAAACTGAACCCACTGGCAGTAATACCAGGTAAAATTTGCTGTAACAAGTCATTATTGAATTGAATCTGTGGTTTCAGTTTTATCTCGTGTAGGTAAGAGTGCAGGGCTTTCCTTTCCAAAAACAGTAAGAAGCAAGGAATATGAGTACTGGTTAGCTTGCCTCCACTGAAATGAACAGGGAAACTTTTCTGCACAGGGAGAGCTGCATTTGCCCATTGGTTCTCCCAGAATAAAAACAAGGAAGTGAATTGTGGCACCTTAAATACTACCAAATCTATTACAGAATAAGCTTTCGCAGACAGTAATTTGGCAAAACAGTGTTTCACTGGACAACTTGCTAAGGGTAGATGGGCCCATTACTGGTTAACATTGTCACAATCTTACTCTGAGAATGCTCAGACTTCCCTAGTT